AAATACACTTATCTAGGAAAAGTGAAAGGATGTTTCCCAACATGACTTTCACAATGGCAGAGTAGAATTGAAAATTCCCAATGACGACTCAATGAAATCATGGCGTTTCTAGTGTTGACCATCACCTGAATGACCTCTCACCTTGAGATGATCTTAGAGGTCACCACAGATTGTCCATCCAGTAGCCCTGGGTAGGCAAGACAACATTTATTTTCACAATTTCACTAATATCATAAAAATCAATAAATCATAGCACGCTTCTGGGCTCATTCAGGAGTTTTTACCTAATTAAGTAGATTCAAGTTGAAAAATGATCCCTCGATCCTGACTAGTCTCCCAGTCCCTGCCACTGATGGTGCCAGGTTTCCTCCAGATGTGACGCTTGGCATTCAGGCCAAAGAGTTCAATCTTGGTTTCATCAGACCAAAGAATCTTGTTTCTCATGGTCTGAGTCCTTTAGGGGCCTTTTGGCAAACTCCAAGCGGGCTGTCATGTGCCTTTTACTGAGGAGTGGCTTCCGTCTGGCCACTCTACCATAAAGGCCTGATTGTTGGACTGCTGCAGAGATGGTTGTCTTTCTGGAAGATTCTCCCATCTTCACAGAGGAACTCTGGAGTGACCATCAGGTTCTTGGTCACCTCCCTGACCAAGACCCTTCTCCCCCGATTGCTCAGTTTGGCCGGGCGGCCAGCTCTAGGAAGAGTCTTGGTGGTTCCAAACTTCTTCCATTTAAGAATGATTGAGGCCATTGTGTTCTTGGGGACCTTCAATACTGCAGAAATGTTTTGGTACCCTTCCCCAGATCTGTGCCTCGACACAATCCTGTCTCGGAGCTCTACGGACAATTCCTTCGACCTCATGGCTTGGTTTTTGCTCTGACATGCACTGTCAACTGTGGGACCTTATATAGACAGGTGTGTGCCTTTCCAAATCATGTCCAATCAATTGAATTTACCACAGGTGGACACCAATCAAGGATGATCAATGGAAACAGGATGCACCAATTTCGAGTATCATATCAAAAGGTCTGAATACTTATTCTTATACTTATTTTATTTTATTTGATAAACTAGCCAACATTTCTAAAAGCCTGTTTTCGCTTTGTCGTTATGGGGTATTGTGTGTAGATTGCTGAGGAAAAAAAGTAATTTAATCAATTTTAGAATAAGGCTGTAATGTAACAAAATGTGGAAAAAGTCAAGGGGTCTGAATACTTTCCGAATGCACTGTATTAACGGGAAACTTTCAAAGTCTACCATTTCGATGTTGTTCCAAGTTAAGATTATTCCCCATATGAATACATGACATTAGCCAATAGGATACCTGCTTTCGGGCTAGGAAAGATTGCAGGAATGTCAGGAATGTGTACTTGGTGTTAACTCATATCTATCTCTACTGTAGATCTGTCTGTCTGTCTGTCTGTCTGTCTGTCTGTCTGTCTGTCTGGTCCTTTATAGCTCAGTTGATAGAGCATGCATTGTAACTGCCATGGGTAGTGGGTTTGATTCCCGGGACCACCCATACGTAACGTATGCAGACCAGTCGTCTGGCGAAGCTAGTGATAGAGAGGACGAACGCCAGGGAGGGGATGACCCGGGAGCCAGGGACGAGGACGAGCCGAGGTAGGAGGGAGGGGGAGGGGAGGAGAGAGAGGGAGGAGGGAGGGAGGAGAGGAGGGAGAGGAGAGGAGAGGAGAGGGCGAGAGGGCGAGGGGAGGGGGAGGGAGGAGGGAGGGGAGAGGGGAGAGGGAGTTTGTGATGGTAGATGTGGGGAGGGGAAGGTGGAGCGGAGGCGTCGGAGGTGGCAGGAGATGAGGTGAGGGAGGGAGGGAGAGGACGGACGGAGAGGAGGAGGAGAGGAGAGGAGAGGCGAGGAGGAGGAGAGGAGAGGAGAGGATGAGGAGAGGAGAGGAGAGGAGAGGGAGGAGAGGAGAGGAGAGTATAAACAGAAAAGGGTTTGGCTAAACCCCCAGGCTGTGGTTTCTTCCTTATATGGAAGAGGAGGCGAGGAGACAGCCATCTCAGATCATGTTCCTACATAGTGGGAATTCCTTGGGCCCATCCTATATGGCACCCTATTCCCTATATAGTGCACTACTTTTAAACCAGGGTTCATTGGGCTCTGGTCAAACGGAGAGCAACTAATATGAGGAATAGGGAACTAATTGGAACTCAGCCCTTAAACCATGGAGGGAGAAAATGGAGCCCCGCTAAACGTATAATCGTCCGGGGTGGAAGAATAATTCACCGAAACAGTTTGAGAGTGAAATTGAAGTGTGCTGCGTTGAGAAATAAAGCTCACAACACGTGAATCCTTCATCTCATTTCACTTGAAGACAATCTGTCATGTTGATATCTGTTGGAAAGAAAAGTTTTTGTCCAGTTCTTTTTATTTGTTGGCATGAAATGGATTTCCAGTGTTTGTCTGTGTGTGATACCCTGGAGGACCGTTGATGTTAGTGATACAATGCAACATTCACAGCAGACTGGCTGAGGGGGAGGAATATGTGGGGAACAGGGGAGGAGGAGAGGAAGGGTGAGGAGAGAAGAGGAGGAGGAGAGGAGAAGGGAGAATACGAAAGAGGGGAGGAAGGAGGGAGGAAAGACTTGTTTCTTGGGAGGAGGCGGAAATTGCAATCCCTCTCCTGCTCAGCCATGAAAGCGGAGAAACCGAAGCAGAAGAAGGATAGCGGGAACGAACGGAAATAAACGAGCCCCTAAGAGAAAAGATGCAGAAGAAGACTGAAGACCTGCTGAATCGATAGATACTCTTCTCTCCTCTACCTCTCTCTCCCCTCTCTCGTCTTCCCTTTTCCCCCCCCCTCCCCTCCCCTCCCCCTACAGTATGTGCATGTGATTCCTATGGGAATTGAACCCACTACCTTGCCATTTCTAGCTCCATGCTCATGGTGTCCCTTGTTATGTCTCGGTTGGTGAGACTCACAGGACCATTATGACTCGGTTGGTGAGACTCAAAGGACCGTTATGTCTTGGTTGGTGAGACTCACAGGACCGTTATGTCTTTGGGTTTGGGGAGACTCACAGGACGGTGTTGTCTTGGTTGGTGAGACTCACAGGACTTTTGTCGTTTTGGGTTTGGGGAGACTCACAGGACCGGGCTTTTCTTGGTTGGTGAGACTCACAGGAAACCCTTAGTCTTGCTTGGTTGGTGAGACTCACAGGACCTATGACTTGGTTGGTGAGACTCAAAGGACCGGGTTTTGTCTTGGTTGGTGAGACTCACAGGACCGTATGTCTTGGTTGGTGAGACTCACAGGACCATTATGTCTTGTCTTGGTTTGGGGAGACCACAGGACCGTTATGTCTGTTTTGGGTTTGGGGAGACTCAAAAGGACCTTTTGTCCTTGGTTGTTTAGACTCACAGGACCCTATGTCTTTTGTCCTTTTTGGTTGTGAGACTCACAGGACCATTATGTCTTGGGCTTGGTTTGGGGAGACTCACCCGGGGGTTTTGTTTGGTTGGGTTTAGACTCACAGGACCATTATGTCTTGTCTTGGTTGGTGAGACTCACAGGACCTTATGTCTTGGTTGGTGAGACTCACAGGACGGTATGTCTTGGTTGGTGAGACTCACAGGACCATTATGTCTTGTCTTGGTTGGTGAGACTCACAGGACCGTTATGTCTTGGTTGGTGAGACTCACAGGACCATTTTGTTTGTAAGCCTTGGTTTCTTGGTTGGTGAGACTCAACAGGACGTTATGTCTTGTTGGTGAGACTCACAGGGCCTATTTTTGGGCTTGGGGGTGAGACTCACCAGGACCGGTATGTCTTGGGTTGGTGAGACTCACAGGACGGTTATGTTTTTGGTTGGTGAGACTCACAGGACCATTATGGCCTGTCTTGGTTGGTGAGACTCACAGGACCGTTATGTCTTTGGTGGTGAGACTCACAGGACCATTATGTCTTGTCTTGGTTGGTGAGACTCACAGGACCGTTATGTCTTGCTTGGTGAGACTCACAGGACGGTATGTCTTGCGTTGGTGAGACTCACAGGACCGGTATGTCTTGGTTGGTGAGACTCACAGGACCGTTATGTCTCGTTTTGGTTGGTGAGACTCACAGGACCATTTCGTCTTCCTGAACTGAGGTGCTATTCCTTGGTACTTGGATTGGTCCTGCTCTGGCCCTGCCCTGGTAGATGCTGCTGCCCTCGGACATAACCCTTTCAGACCCATTTGTACCTTGTTTAGGAAAAAAAAAAACATAACGTGCGTTTTATTTCACCTGAAACATGCACTTCACTTTGCTCTTAGGGACCGATATGCTTTAAAAAAAAGACTTCACTCCTTGGTACGTTATAAATACACGATAAGGCCCTGGCAGAGAGAGTAAAGGCCAAGGTGATTTGAGGGATATGTATTTTTCATGTCCTCGGGTACCTTTATACGGTAAACACCGAGGCATCAACCCGCTGTGCCTTCTGCTGAAGGGGGAAGTGATTTTTTTTTT